AGGATCGTGGTTCAAAGCCAGCCCAGGCAGGAAAAATCCGTGAGACTCTTTATCTCCAATAAACCACTCACAAAACTGAAAGTGGTGTTGTGGCTCAAGTGGTAGAGCCCTAGCCTTGAGCTAAAGTGCTGAGGGACAGCGCCCAGCCCCAGAGTTCAAGCCCCACAACCAACAACAACAAAAGAATCTCATGGACTCATACCTAGGCTAGCTTTGAACCTTGGTCCTCAAGTATCAGCCTCCTGAGTATCTAGGATTACAGGCATGAGCTACAAGCACCCAGTTATCTTTTATTTATTTTAAGAAACAGTGGATAGTTTGTGTGTATGTGTGTGTGTGTGTGTGTGTGTGTGGTGTGTGTGTGTGTGTGTGTGTGTGTGTGTGTTGTTACTGGGGTTTGAGTAAAGAGTAATAGTCCTCACACTACCACTAGGCATTTTCTCTCACAGCTGATGTTCTACCACTTGAGCCATGCCTACAGTCTGGCATTTTGCTGGTTAATTGGAAACAGTCTTGAAGACTTATCTGCCATTACTGCCCTTGAACCATGATCCTTAGATTACAGACATGATCCACCAGTGCCTGGTTTGGAAACTTCAATTCTGGTCATGCCACAGAAGAGCAGACCTGGAAGACACACAGCCTATCTGCTCCTCTCTCCTTCCTCAAGAGATGGAGCATGTAGATGCAGTTCTCTCTTAGTGGATGCTGAAGGTTCTCAGTGCAGGGGCTGATGTTCAAACTCTACACAAGGACCTTCATGTGCTGCAAGCTTCCTGGGAGGAGAGGAACCATAGCCAAACATCGGGAAATGGTCCTGGTGGGGGTAGGATCTCCCCTAAACCTGCTCTGAGGGTCTCATGGGCTGGATGGCAGGTGAAATACTTTGATGGAGGCAATGACCCAACCTCGCCAGGTGAGGCTGGCTCCCTTCCTCCCTCCCTCCCATACCTCTTCCTCTCTTTCCTCCCCTCCTTCCTTCCCTTCTCACCTTCCCTCCTTCCCTCCTTGCCTTCCCTCCTTGCCCTCCCTCCCTCCTTCCCTCCTTCCCTCCCTCCCTTCCTCCCTCCCTTCCTTCCTTCCTTCCTTCCTTTCTTCCTTCCTTTTTCCCTCCCTCCCTACTTTCTTTCCCTCAGTACTGAGGCTCAAGCCCAGGACTTTGAGCTTCCTGGACAGGCACTCTAGTGCTGAACCACGCCCCTAGCCCTTTTTGGTTTTAATTCTTTTCTTGGATAGGGTGCTATGTTTTTGTCCTTGAACCAGAGAAAGATCAAAGCCCAGGCAAGCTGGTGTATAAAGTGAGACTACTTTGAAAATAACCAATGTGAAAAAGAGCTGGAGGCATAATTCAAGAGGTAAAGCACATATATGCCTAGAAAGTTCAATGTCCTGAGTTCAATACCAGTCCTACCAAAAATGAAAGGGTGGAGCAGGGGACTTTTCAAGCTGAGTGTAATGGCACATACCTATGTTCCCAGGTACCAAGAGGCAGAGGAAGGAGGATCAAAATCTGAGGCTTGTCCAAGGATTAAAACGTAAGATCCAATGCAAAAAGAAAAAGACAACTTTAAAAGGGGCTGGAGGTGTGGTTCAGCAGTAGAGTGCCTAATTTGGAAGCTCAAGGTGGTTTGCAAACAATGAAGACAAATATCTTTGATTCCAGGAGACTGAGTTTCGTGGCCTTACGGTAAAACTGTGGAATCAGAAGGTGACACCACGCCTGCCTGGGGGGACAGGATTCTTTACACAGGAAGTGGTAATCAGAGCACCACATTGGAGAGAATGAAGAGAATGTTTCCAGGTAGATAATGTGGTGACTGCAGAGAATTCCAGGAAACAGGAACAGCATGTGCAAAGATAAGGTGCCTAGGAAAAGGGCATCCCAACTACTTAAAGATAATAATGATGATGATGATGATATTTTTAAAAAAGAAAGAAAAGAGCATCCCTCATTCCCAGTGGGGTTGTGGTACATTGAGGAAGCCAAAGGTATTTGTCTTTATTTTATTTTATTATTATTATTATTATTTTTGTCAGTCGTGGGGCTTGAACTCGGCTTGGGCGCTGTCTTTGTGCTCTTCAGCTCAAGGTGAGCACTCTACTACTTGAGCCACAGCACCACTTCTGGTTTTCTAGCAGTTTATTGGAGATAAGAGTCTCACGGACTTTCCTGCCTGGGCTGGCTTTGAACCACGATCCTCAGATCTCAGCCTCCTGAGTAGCTAGGATTACAGGCGTGAGCCATGGGCGCCCGGCTAGGTACTTGGCTTTCTGAGCCTGGCTTCTTCACTTATAATGTTCTTTGGTTATATCCATGTTGTCACAAATGACTGGAGCTCATTTTTGTTTAAAAATTTTATTGTAAAGATGTTGTACAGAGGGGTTACAGTCACATAAGTAATGAGTACATCTTGTTGAGCATTGTTACCCCCTCCTTTGTTGTTCTCCCACTATCCTTCCCCCACACACACGAGCTCATCCTTTTTTATGGCTATATAGTGTTCCACTGCATACACAGATCACATTGCCTTTATCCACTCATCAGTTGATGGACACTTAAGGTTGTTTCCATTCATTGGCTCTTATAAACAGTACTGTAATGAACATGGTAGTATGTCTCTTCACCATGATTTCATTTCTATTTTGGTAGGACTGTAGTTTGAACTCAGTAGGCAGGCACTCTACCACTTGAGCCACTCCTTCAGCCCTTTTTGCTTTTAGTTTTGTTTTTCAGATAGGATCTTGTGTTAACTTGATTTGGACTGACTTGGACTATGGTTGAACTGCTTCTGCCTCCTAAACAGCTGGGAATACAGGCATGTGTTGCCACCCAAGCCCTGATTTTATTCTTTTGGAAATACACTATAGATAACATATTAGTTCTGCCTATAATAGCAAAAGAGGAGAATGGAATGAAAGAAAACTTTGAAGGACCCCAATTCGGATGCTGAACAATGTGGACTAATCTTGATAGCCAACAGGAAATAGTTTTGTGAAAAGCTGTCCTTGGGAAAAAAGGTCAATGTAGTTGGTGGCTTGAAAAACAGAAGAGTCAAATATGGTTATAAATGCCTATAATTTCAGTGGCACTGTAGCTCAAGTGGTAGAGCGCTCACCTTGAGTTGAAGAGCTGAGGGACAACGCCCAGGCCCAGAGTTCAAGCCCCACGACTGACAAAAAAAAAAAACTATAAATGCCTATAATTCCATCCCTTGGGAGGCTGAAGCCAGAGGATTGTAAACTCAAGGCCAGCCTTGCTACAGAGTATAACCCCTTCTCTCTCTCTTTTTTCCTCCAAGATGGGTACTCAAATTCAGTATCTGACACTTGCTTTTGCTCATTGGCTGGCACTCTATGACCTGAGCCACTCCTCCAATCCCAAGGGTTGGTTATTTCTTTCTTCTTCTTCTTCTTCTTTCTTTTTTTTTTTTTTTTAAATGAAACACCTTCTCACAAAAAGAAAAATGATTAGAAAGAGACTGAGTAAGAAGCAGAGGGCTGGGGTTTATACCTACACACCTAACTACTCAGGAAGCTGAGATCTGAGGATCTCAATTTGAAGCCCAGACAGACAAGTCCAAGAGAGTCTCATCTCCAATTAACCAGCAAAAAGGGCTGGAGGTGTGGCTCAAGTGGTAGAACATCATCCTTTAGCAAAAGAAAAAGAAAACTAAAAGAGAGCATCCTGACCCTGAGTTCAAACCCCAGTACTGGCACCAAAAGAGAGTGGGGTGGGGAGAACGAAAGAGAACAAAATATCAAAGATCGATTAAACAAAGCAGCCTAGGGAAGGTGAGGAGGGAGACTGATCTATTTGCACAGAGCTGAGAAGTGTGTGTGTCTTCCTGAAGGGACAACAGGGGCAGAGGGAGGCGGGCAGACTTTTGTGAACAGAAGAGTCTTGCTCTATTCTATATGTGCCACTTCATCTTCATGATTTTATCTGCAGGAATGCCCAGCGCTCTCTCTAAGAACCTGCTGACTCTATGTGGCAGTCATCGAGAAGAAACCTGAACCTCTCCAGCTATCTTCCCACCCTAGGAAGGTCCCTGGTCCTCAGAGCGAAGAGTTGGAAAGAGGATGCCTGCCTCCTTGGGTATGGATCGTGGGGGACTGAAAAAGGATAGAAGCAGGTCAAGTATAGAGGCGTATACTTGTAACCCCAGCTACTCAAGAGGTAGAAATTGTGAGGATTGTGTTTTAAGGCTAGCTCAGGCAGAAAGTTGTTGAGACCACCCCCATCCCAACCAATAAAAGCTGTGCAGGGTAGCATGTGCCTGTCATCCCAGCTACACAGGATGTGTAAATAGGAGGATCACTTTCCAAGCAAAAAACATGAAAGTCTATCTAACAAAAAATAATAATAACTGAAACAACTCGGGCTGAGGGCATAGTTCAGCTGGTAGAGTGAGGCCCTGAGTTCAAATCCCAGTACCAAAAATAAAAGAAAAAAGAAAGCTCAAGAAGAAAAACCAGCCAGGTACTGGTAGCTCACGCTTATAATCCTAGCTACCCAGGAGGCTGAGATCTGAGGATCACATTTCAAAGCCAGCCCAGGCAGGAAAATCTGTGAGACTCTTATCTCCAATTAACCAGGAGAAAACGGGAAGTGGCACTGTGGCTCAAGTGGCAGAGCACTCACCTTGAGCTGAAGAGTTCAGGGACAGTGCCTAGGCCCAGAGTTCAAGCCCCAAAACTGACACACACAAAAAAAGAAAAGAAGAAAACCCAGGGATACTGAAGAACCCAGGTCTGAAGCAGAATGGAGTTCCTAGAAGCACACATGACCAGCAGGAAGGGTAGATAGTGGTAGCGAGTCAATTCCTAGAAGACTTTGGAACTTTCTCCTGAAGGGACTCCAAGCCCCTGGAGGGGAGGGGGCGGCGGTGCATAGATAAGCATGTAGAAAGCCAGACAAAGACTTCAGATGGCTGATGTCATGTTCTAGGGCCCCAAGGTGGGGGGGGGGGGGCGGTAATACCGTGTTGCCTCTCTTCTAGGCCCCAACACAAGCTACTGGCCTGAGTCTAACTGGACATCCCCACAGGAGTTTGTTATCTTGGGCTTCTCTGGGTGGCCACAGGGCCTTCGTTTGCTGCTCTTTGCCCTCCTGCTGCCACTCTACCTGGCCACCCTGGCAGGGAACCTGCTCATCCTGGGCCTAGCCCTGGCAGAGCCCAGCCTCCACACACCCATGTACTTCTTCCTGGCCGCACTGTCCACAGTGGAGGTGGCTTACACCCTGGTCCTCACCCCACGAATGCTGGCTGGCTTCCTCCTGCCTCCAGGAGGCCAGGCCGTGTCTCCCTCCACTTGCGCTGCCCAGATGGGCCTTTTTGTAGCTCTGGGAGGTTCTGAGTGCCTATTGCTGGCAGCCATGGCCTTGGACCGCTACCTGGCCATCTGCCACCCACTCTATTATCCCCAGCTCATGACCACAGGACTCTGCTGGGGCCTCCTGGCCTCCTGCTGCGTGGGTGGCTCTGTGTTAGCCTTAGGTCTCACCACTGCCATATTCCGGCTGCCCTTCTGCCGAGGTGGTCTTGTCAACCATGTCTTCTGTGACCTCCCCGCGGTGCTGGTGCTGGCCTGTGGGAACCGAGAGCTGCAAGAGCACGTGCTCCTGGCCGCCTGCCTGCTGCTGCTGGTGCTCCCGCTCATCCTCATCCTGATGTCCTATACCAGAGTGCTGGTGGTGATCCTGGGAGTAGGGGACACAGCTGGACGCCGCAAAGCCTTCAACACAGTAGCGTCCCACCTTACCGTGGCCGTCCTCCACTACGGCTGCGCCACGGCCATGTATGCCAGACCCCTAAGGAGCCGCTCCTTGGAGGAGGACAAATTGGTGTCGCTCATCTACATCAACCTCACACCACTGCTCTACCCAGCCATCTACACGCTTCGCAATCGGGACATTCAGGGCGCCCTGCAACGGGTAGTTGGCCATAGGATGGGCCAAGACACAGATCTCACCTAACTTGGGTTGCCAGGCAATGGACGCCATGAAGTTGCCCCCTTCAGATGGATGTTGCGAAGCCATCCAGGGCTCCCCAAACCTGCAGGAGGTAAATTGACTGTGGCACACACACCTCGAAATCAGACTCCAGCCCTGCCCAGCTTCTATAGATACTCCGAGTAGATAGTCCCTTCCTTCCTTCCTTCTTTCCTTTCTTCTTTCTTTCTTCCCTACCTCCCTTTCTTCCTTCTTCCCTTCTTTCCTTTCCTCCCTTCCTTTTCCCTTCCTCCCTTCTTTCCTTCTTCCTCCCTCTCTTTATTTTTCTTCCTACCTCCTCTTTCTCTCTTTTCTTTCTTTTTTCCTGCCTTCTTTCCTCCCCTTTCTCCCCCTCCTTCATTCTCTTCCTCATTCTCTACCCCCCCTTTCCCTCTCCCTCCCTCTCTTTCTTCTTTCCGTTTCCCCTCCCCAGTTCTTCCTTCATGTAGTACTGAACACTGAACTCAGGGCCTCATGCCTGCTAGGCAAGCACTCTACCACTTAATCCAGGCCCCAAACCCCCCAGAGCTTTTGCTCTGAGTTTATTTTCCAGCTTAAGGTCTCATAAGAACTCTGCCCCAGCTGGCTTTGAACAGAGATCTACTTAAGAAGCTGGGACCATAGGTGTGTCCCACCATCCTCACCTTGTTTGTTTTTTTTTTGTCGGTCATGGGGCTTGAACTCTGGGCCTGGGCGCTGTCCCTCAGCTCTTCAGCTCAAGGCGAGCGCTCTACCACTTGAGCTACAGCGCCACTTCCGGTTTTCTGGTGGTTTATTGGAGATAGGAGTCTCACGGCCTCTCCTGCCCGGGCTGGCTTTGAACCGTGATCCTCAGATCTCAGCCTCCTGAGTAGCTAGGATTACAGGCGTGAGCCACCAGCGCCCGGCTCCTCACCTTGTTTTTAAGATAGAGTCTCATTAACTTTTGCCTAGACTGGACTCAAACAATGATTCTTCTGTCTCTGTTCCCCAAGTAGAGGCAGGGTTATATAGTCTTGAGCCACCCTTGCCTAGCATTCTTTTTGGATACAAATGGCCACAGTTAGAGACTAGATAAACAGCCTGTTATTTACACAATGGAATTCTATGTGCTAACAGAAAAGAATGAACTAGGATATTAGCTTCTTCCCACCAAAACCAAGTAAAGACAACATGGATATCACATGAAGGTCTAAGAAGAAGTAACCAGACTATAAATACCATGGTGTTCCCTCTAGACAAAGGACAATGACAAACTGATCAATGGTGTCTGATGGTTGGTGTCCTAAAAGTGGTTGGCTGGGTTAATGACTCTGGTAGGCCCAGCACAGGGGAGACTGCCTGGGTGTTGGTCTGGGTGGTAATTCTAGAGCCATGTTGACATACAAAACTTGATCAAGATGCACACTGAATATCTGGGTTCCTCATAATGTGTAAAATAAACTACAGCTTATTCCAGCTACTTCTAAGACACAGTAAGACTACACATATTCTCATAGCCTCGGCCCCAGTTTCAGTGTCCCTTCTCTTTCCTCCTGGGTAAACCCCTGTGTGATTCAAAGATCCACCAAAGTACCTTTTCCTCTGTGAAGCCTTCCTTCCCCTTCCTCCTCTGCAAGGGGAATCTGAAATCCCAAAAATGTGAAAGTCTACTCTCTGCCCCCCACCAAGGTAACAGACACCTGAATTCCCCCAAGCAAGCCATCCTTGCTGAACCAGGGCCCTTGCCCTACAGCTTCCTGGAACCAGGCATGCACAAAGTACTTCAGGCCAGAACCACAAACATGCAAAACTCCATCCCAAAATGCTGTACCTTCCAGCCACCCACCTTTACCCAGGACCCTACTTAAGTCCCTTCACCCCTGGCCCCCCAGCATACCTCAGGTCACTACAGTGTCCATCTTCAATTTTCCATTAAAGTTGATCTGGTCTGTTGAGGTTGGTGTCTCTGCCTGCTTTCAGTCTTCTTGTCCTTTCAAATTTACCCTTTTACCTAACACTCCCTAATGACACCTAAAATGAATTGTAGCATCTGCCCCAGTTCCTCACCACCAGCACCTTTAATATCTATCTATCTGTCTGTCTGTCTGTCTGTCTGTCTGTCTGTCTGTCTGTCTGTCTGCCGGTCTGGCTGCCGGTCTGTCTATCTATCTATTTCCATTCCTGGAGCTTGAGCTCTGGGCCTGGGTGCTGTCCCTGAGCCTTTGTGCTCAAGAATAATGCTCTGCCATAGCTCCACTTCTGGGTTGTTTTTTTTTTTTTTTTGTAGTTTAGTGGAAATAAGAGTCTCACCAACTTTCCTGCTTTGAACCATGATCCTCAGATCTCAGCCTCCTGAGTAGCTAGAATTACAGATGTGAACTGCCAGCACTTGGCTCAGCTTTTGTGTTCGTGTGTGTGTGTGTGTGTGTGTGTGTGTGTGTGTGTGTGTGTGTGATTGGATTGAACCCAGCGCCACGTGTGTCCTCCAGTGCAGGATGAGGCGGGAGGTCTGGAAGAAGGCTTTCCCACATTCATTAGCCTTATGGCTTGTCCCCTGTTGCATTCTCCAGTGCAGGAAGAGGTGGGACTTCTGGAAGAAGACTTTACCACATTACTGTACCTATATGGCTTCTCTGCTCTCCAGTGTAGGATAAGGTGAGAAGGCTTTCCCACACTCACCACACATGGAGTGCTTCTCATCCATGTGGATGTGGTGATATTCCACGAAACAGGACTTATGCAAGATGCTTTTCCCACACTCTGAACAACTGCCAGGCTTCTCCCCAGCAAGTACCAGCTCAAGCCCAGATACCATATCTGCAATAGATTTCCCTCTCATGTAACTGTCCTCTTTATGGGAGTTAAAGCAAGATAGATTAGGAAAAGTGAGACTCGGTGGTAAATTGCAGCCAGAAACTCCAGAATAAACAAGGTATTTGAAAACATAGATGCACTCTTTATCTCAAGGATTAGCACCTGTTTGGTGGCAGGATGCATTCCTTCCTGAGAGAAATGCCCAAGCATTAAACAGAGTCACGGAACAGGAACGGAAAGAATAAAACCAACTCTCCCTTTGAGAGCACCTGCCCTCCCTTAGAGTGTGCTTTTTGCCTTTGTGCTTGTCTGCTTGGTCACTTACTCAAGATCTGCCAAATTTTCTTACAATTATAACTTGTTTGGAAATTCTTATTTTGTGATTGAAGTCAAGGACCCTAAATGGAGAGTCTCTACTTCTAAAGTGAAACTTCACAAACCCTCATCTGGACCCAGTGACAGAGTGAGTCTTCCTCCTAACTCCTCTTCCCTGAATATTGCCCCTACAGGAACTGTCACCTCTGTACACCCAGTAACAGACAATGAATTCTGATCTGCACGAGATTTTCCCACACTGGGGACATTTGTGAGGTTTCTCAGCACCACTGGGTCCCCACTCAACAATCATAGCTACCAGCATTTTGACTTAAAGTTCTTCTGCACTTGGGACACTCCCAAGGGATTAGTGTGGAAGATGGAATCTCAAGCTTAAAGTAGAGAAGTAAGTTCCAATGGATATCACACTCAAATCACCTTCTGACAAGGTAGGCATTGGTAGTGAACTCTACACTCAGCTTCAAACTCTATCTACTTAAACCACGTGTGTGGTCCGGCTGCATGGGTGGAGTAAGGAATATGGTCAGAGATTTGTATTCCAAATATTTCCATTTACTGAGCACTTTGTTGGTTAGTTTTTTTTCTCATCTGCAACTTGCCCACCATATTTGTCTCAATGTTTCTGACCTTTCTGACCCCTGTCTACTTGGGTATCAACTTGCCAAACTTCCAGAAAAAAGTAGTTCAGATTTTTACATCTTTCTAGTGTTGTATCATAGATTTATTTCAGAAATGTTTTGAGGGAGGATTTATTTGGAGATTTCAAGTTCATTTGCCCAGACTGAAAATACAAACTGTGCATGGTGCCTTACACCTATAATACCATCTACATAGCAGGTAGAGATTGGGAAGATCATGGTTCAAAGACAATCCAACTAAGTCATATCCCAACAAACAAGATAGGTATAGTGATTGACACCTGTGGTCACAGCTACTAGGAATGAGACATAGGTAGTAAGATCATGGTCCTGGGCCAGCCCTGGGTAAAAATGTGAGACCTGATCCAAAAAAATAGCTAACGCCAGAAAGAGCTGGAGGTGTACAGCTCAGCAACAACTAGCAAGTGAAAGCTGTGAGCTTAAAGTCCCAGTACCACCAAAATTAAAAAGCCCTCCTCACTTCTCTCTCATCTACAAACAGGAGATGATGATCATGTACTAGCAGAACAAGGTAGGCATTGGCAGTAAACTCTACACTCAGCTTCAGACTCTCTCCACATAAACCACATGTGGGCCTGCTGCATGAGTAGAGTAAGGTATGTGGTCAGAGAGATTTGTATTCCAAATCTTTCCATTCACTGAGTACTTTGTTGGTTAAGTTTTTTCCCATTTGCAACTTGCCCACCACGTTTGTCTCAATGTTTCTGATCCCTGTCTACTTAAGTATCAACTTGCCAAACTTCTAGAAAAAATAATAGTTCAAAATTATTGAACTATAAGCAACCTGCTAAAGGCAGAACATTCCTAAGCAGATACTTGGTACGACAGGAGGAGTCAGAAAATCTGGGAGGAAGCCGGGCGCTGGTGGCTCACGCCTGTAATCCTAGCTACTCAGGAGGCTGAGATCTGAGGATCTCGGTTCAAAGCCAGCCCAGGCAGGAGAGACCGTGAGACTCCTATCTCCAATAAACCACCAGAAAACCGGAAGTGGCGCTGTAGCTCAAGTGGTAGAGCGCTCGCCTTGAGCTGAAGAGCTGAGGGACAGCGCTCAGGCCCAGAGTTCAAACCCCACTACCGACAAAAAAAAAAAAGAAAATCTGGGAGGAGCCATGGAATCCGGAATTATCATCTGGAATGTAAATGAGCCCTTCTGAACCAAACTTTTCCCTTCTACCCTGAAAACCTTTACTGAGCTTTGATTTGGATTGGATGGATTATATATTTACTATAATCAACAGAAGTTTGTCAACTATACCAGAATGCAGTCAAGGGAATAGCCAAGCAATTTGATGCTACCAGCTGCATGGCCTGGAAGAACAAGCTAGCATTAGACATGATACTGGTGAAAAGTAGGGGTAGGAGAGGTCTATGTGATGATTTGGGTGCGATGTTGTACCTTTATACCCAACACTACCACTCCCCACAAAACTATAACTAAGGGGCTGGGAAGATGGCTCAGTGGTAGAGCGCTTGCCTTGCATGCCTGAGGCCCTGGGTTTGATTCCTCAGCACCACATACGCAAAAAGAAAAAAGCCGGAAGTGGCGCTGTGGCTCAAGTGGTAGAGCGCTAGCCTTGAGCTGAAGAGCTGAGGGACAGCGCCCAGGCCCAGAGTTCAGGCCCCACGACCGGGCCCCCAAAAAAAAAAAAAAAAAAGACTATAACTAAGACACTGCAAGGCTTGATCACTTTGGCCAATGAGTTGGCCAAAAATTCAGGGATTGATGATCCCTTAACCAACCTTATAGAACAGTGGTTACGGAGGTGGAAAGGACACCTAGCCTCTATGGTGACCTCACCAGTCTGATAATCATGGATTCTAACAACCAGATGTTGCCTAATCCCAGGTCTTGTCCAATGGCTCATAGAAACTGCCTTATTAAATAGTCACCCCCACCCTATAGCAATAACGCCTTCCTCCTAGAGGACGACCCCCACCCCCCACCCCAGCACCAAAGCCAGCTACTCCTCACGGAATTTTAAGGAAAGAATGGGGATGTGTAAAGAAGAGGGGGGAATTGTGAGAGAAAGTAATCTTTTCTGCCATTTTGTACTTATCTTTTCTGTTTGCTCCTTGCGGTTAGGGACTTTTCACTTATGGGTTTTTGTTTTTCCAACTTCCTTGCACTGTTAACTGTCAGTTGGGCGATCTGGAGCCTTCCCTGCCCAAAATAAAAGTGAGCCTTTGCCTCTGCCAATGAAATTAAAGGAGAATGGACCCTCCCCTCCCCCAGTAGGGAACCTTTGATTGATGGTCAGAGCACTTTCCATAGAAACCAAGCGGACCACCCTCCCAGTGTGCCTACTGACAGTGCATAGAACGGTTATGCACCCCTCTACCCAGAAGTAAATAGCCTTGAGATCTCCTTGGCCTCTCCAGTGTTGACTTCCCAACCATAGCAACACACTGCCAACATAGAGACCTGGGAGTAAGAACATGAGTGTGATTGCCGGCGTCCAGCAGTTCCGTGCAGCCGAATGAGGTACGAATTTGCAGGACGGTCCCTAAACTTAATGTCGCATAGACTTTTGGGAAATAGAGTTCTTGTGGTGGTTCTGAGCCTCGCAGGCAACCTCGAATGCTAACTTCCGGTGTGCTGCTGCGCAAGCGCAGGTTGCCCTGCGTGCGTGTCTGCGCTTGCGCGCCTCTGACCCACTACCAGCTTTCCTGTCCGTGCCGCGGGTGTCTCAGCCCTCACTCCCCGGAGCTGTGGCCTCCGGTAGGCGAGCGTGACCGCACGGACCAGGGCTGGCCTGCCCGGCTCTCGCCGGGAGCGCGAACGCCGAGCCCGCGGCAGAGGCCTGAGCCCCGGCCGTCCGTGGCAGCGGGGACGGCGGGCGGCCGGGTCCCGGGCGGGCGCGGCGTCTCCGCGGGTCGGTGAGTCCCCTGAGGCTCAGGCCAGATCCGGGGAGGGACGCCCGCCTGGAACTCATTCCCCAGGCCCAGATCCGCCGCTCTGGAGGTGGAGGACCGGCGGCGGCCACGAGGACGTACCCTCGGGAGCCCCTGGAAGGGCGGGAAGTCGTAGCCCCGAGGACGGGGTGCGCAGGGCCTGCGTGCAGCTAGCGCCCGGCGAGCACACAGGTGCGGGGAGCGGGCGGCCCGCGTCCCCGGAAGGCAGGTGGGGTGAAGGCGGAGCGGCTGCGCGGGCCTGGATGCTTTGTGGGGGTCTGACCGAGCCGGGTTCCGCTCCTCCCTCCTCTCCTTGACGCCGCTTCTGTCTGCGCCTTTCCCCAGGGGTGTGTAGGTGCACCTCGGTTCTTTCTGCTGGTTCCCCCAGTTCTGCCTTTAGTAATGGTCCCTGTGTGGGGCAAGAGAAGTCTATTGTGTTGCCTGTGTTGATGGATGGAGGTGATGGATGACAGTGCTGGAGTGGTCGGCCAGAGGATTAAAGTCTGAAGGCACTGTTCCTCTGTCCATTGTAGTCTAGTTTTTCTTTCTTCCTTCCTTCCTTTTTTTCCTTTCTTTGTGTGTGTGTCGGTCGGTCGGTCTTGGGCTTGATCTCAGGGTCTGGGAGCTTTCCCCGAGCTTTTGTTTTGTTTTGCTCAAGGCTAGTGCTCTACACTTGAGTCATAGCTCCACTTAAGGCTTTTTGCACATCAGTTGGAAGTACGAGCCTCATGGACTTTCCTGTCCGGGATGGCTTCGAACCATGATCCTTAGATCATGGTTAACAGGCATGGGCCACAGGCGCCCAGATTCGGTCTAGTTTTCTTAAGCGCGAAAAAACAAATTTAGGCGAATAATTTGAGAAATAAGCTAAAATATACCATTCCTTATGCCCAGCCTAGCCAGTAGAATGCAGAGATCACAGAACGGCACTACCATACCAGCCATTAAATTGATTTCTGAGCTCTCAAATTCTCTATTCATATGGATTGTCTGATTATAAGCAATTTGAAAAGAGAATAAACTGGAGGTCTAGTCTGTAGTCTAGCTTGTGCAAAGCCCAAGTTTAATATTCAGCACTACAAAACAATGGAAAATAGGAATATTCTAAGGGAACTTTATTTTTTATTTTGTGCCTTGCATTTAATAGTGGCTGAATACTGTGTTTAGAAAGGAGTTCTTTGTTTATATTCATCTTTAAGAGCCTGAGCCATCTATTATCACCTGCTGGTGTTGGAATTAGAAAGGTGTATGCTTCCTCCAGCTCATATGTTTGGCCCTTTCTGAGAATTGCCTGGGTATTTCATGTGGTTGGGATACTTAGCTCCTGACCCAGTGATCTGCTTCTCCTTCAATAGGTTCACCATCAACTTCCAAGACCAGTGGAAAATGAACAAATTGAAGGTAAGTTGTCCTGTGGGTTGCCTCTCACTGTCCTTTGTAATGAATTTGATGAAGCTTATGAAGATCTGTTCTTTGGAATAGAAATTAGAAATAGAAGAAAGACAGTGCATAAAATTCAGTCAAAGGATCTACACTGAAGCTTTTGTCAGTGTCTTTTGTAGGTGAGGGATAACATTAGGTCTTACAGAGTTCAGTTGCCAAGATGATGTGATGTTCTTGACGATCGTAAAAAAGGAAAAATAATATACATTACATCATCTGCATCAACTGTATGTTTGGAAGATTTCCCAGGACTTGGATCATTTTCTCTATTAAAGTTGATCAGATTGTGAATAGTTGCCTGATAACCATTATATCAACAGCTTGTGTTTATGATTCATTTTGTGGTCCTGGGGATTGAACTCCTTGTTGCCAACTACCCAGGGTAAACTTGATGCCTATAGAAAATGAGCATTTTCTTTGTTGACTTATGAAATCTAGAGGTAAAATCAAAAGCAAGGGAGAATGACCAAATGTTTCTTGTCTGTCTGGGGTTGCACAAAAACAGAACAAAAATATATATTCTTGGAAAGATTTCATTATGTATTCACATTTCATTTCTTAGCGTTTTAGTTCCCACTTAGCACTTTTCTGATGCTGTCAGTAACTTTTTTTTAAATTCTGGGCCTTGGCGCTGTCCCTACGCTCTTCAGCTCAAGGTGAACGCTCTATGTCTTGAGCCACAGAGCCACTTCTGGTTTTCTAGTGGTTTATTGGAGATCAGTCTCACGGACTTTTCTGCCCGGGCTGGCTTTGAACTATGATCCTCAGATCTCAGCCCCCTGAGTAGCTAGGATTACAGGTGTGAGCCACCGGCACCCAGCTTGCTGTCAGTAACTTAAATACAGTCAAATCCAGTTGATAATCTCACATGACCTTTCACACCTGTTACTTTTAAGCTCATAACCTTCATCATAGCATCTTTTTCTCTCCTTTTTTTTTTTTTTGACCTTAAAAAAATTCACTCTGAGGTTGGGGCTGTAGCTCAGTGGTAATGTCAATGAAAAACCAGTCCTTATATCCAGCAACGGATGATGAAAGATAATAAACATGATAGGAAATTATATTAAGAAAGAAATAAGATGGAGAAAGGAAATTATTATTACATGACATGATGCCAGCAGAAGGTAGCGCTTTAGTTTATTTTTAGCTATCTTTAAGATACGAACAAGCTGCCAGGCGCTGGTGGCTCACGCCTGTAATCCTAGCTTCTCAGGAGGCTGAGATCTGAGGATCATGGTTCAAAGCCAGCCCAGGCAGGAAAGACCGTGATACTTCCAGAATACCGGAAGTGGCGCTGTAGCTCAAGTGGTAGAGTGCTGGCCTTGAGCTGAAGAGCTGATGGACAACACCCAGGCCCAGAGTTCAAGCCCCAGGACCGACAAAAAAAAAAAAAAAAAAAGGCATAAGTGTTACCATTAATGCTAGTGAGGCTCTCAAGGATGGGTTTCCCATCTAGGTTTTGGTTGCAGGCCTTCAATTCCTAAAAGAATTGAGCAGGATACAGGCAGGCAGCATCAAAATATAGGTTGAAAGCAAAAGTACATGCCTAAGAAAGATCAAGGATGGACTGAGCTGGACTACTGCAGCCTGGAGCAGGACATTCCCTCCTGCCCTTATGGGGTAGAGGAGGTGAATCAATAAAAGCAGGTTTGCAATTGGATGGATCTAAGGCAGTCTTGTTTAGCATGAGCCCTGATGAACAAGTTGATTGACAAGTGAAATTTAGCTAACATATGGCCTGATAGAGATTGGGAAGACTCTAACTAGGATCCTGGGCATCATTGGGCCATTATGTGTTGAACTACTGTTGTTGGACCGCTGTCCTTGTCCCTGTACATGTGCACTAGTAAGGGCTCTCCTTTGCTGAGGAAACAGCCTAATTAACAGCCACAGGAATTTTATCATCACCTTATTTATGGTAGTCTTCAGGCAGTCCTTCCTTGTTAGTAATCTTGGGGTTGTTTCCTAGGCAGGAACAGATCTATGGATCCATCCCTGTGCCAGTCTTGTAAGCTGCCCTGGAAACCATGGGCTCTATTCTGTGTGTCTGTCTCTGTAGAACATGCAGTTGACTTAGCAGCACCCACACACACATACCTGTGTAGCTGGAGGAAGGGAAGGTGGAGAGTCTCTCAGCTTTCCAGTTTTCCACATAAAGTAGAGGAACATAAAAACTACAATGAAAAGCACTTCAGAGGGTCTTACAAGGTGAAGTGTGGCAAGGTTATGGAGAAATTAACTTGTTTGTTTGTTTTTTTTAACTTTAGCTTACTAAGCAGTTGGAGTTTACTCTTTTGTAGTACAAGGTGCAGGTATATGGGTATAGTCCAAATGGTTATCACTTGCTTTTACACCATTTATATTCACCTATAATAAAATACTGGAGGCAGCCCATTTATGAAGAAGAAAAGTTTATTTAGCTCCTAGTTTTGGAGGTTCAAGGGCATGACTTATAACAGCTTCATCCTCCCCCCCCCCCCCCCCCTTGCCAAGTCAATTATGGGACTTGAAGCCTAGCTCTTGTCCCTGAGTCTCTTTGTGCTCAGGCTAGTGCTCTACCACTTGAGCCACAGCACTACTTCCCATGTTCTGGTGGTTAATTGGAGATAAGAGTCTCAAGGGCACTTTTCTGCCCAGGCTGGCTTTGAACCGTGAGCCTCAGATCTCAGTCTCCTGAGTGCTAGTATTACAGGTGTGAGCCACCAGCACCCTGCCTAACAGCTTCATTCTTATATCTTCATTCTTCATTCACATTACAGTTGAGGGTCATGTGTGTAAGAGCTTCCTTATATTACTAAATAGAACATCAGAGAAAGGCATCCTGGCATCCTACAGTCCCATCTGAGGACCTATCCCTAGGGATTTAAGATCTTGTCAGGTCCCACTTCCCCAAGGTTCCACCTCTTCCCAACAGTGCCACTCTGGGGATCAAGACCTTAGTCTTGATTCCTGAGGACTCTTGGTTTATTTATTTACTTACTATTTCTGTTGCTTGTGAGGCTTGAACTCAGGGCCTGAGTACTGTCTCTGAGCTTTTTCTGCTCAATGCTAGAGCTCTACTGCTTTGAGCCACCACACCACTTCCCATGTTCTGGTGTTAATTGGAGATAAGAGTCTCATGGACTTTTCTGCCCAGGCTGGCTTTGAACCATAATTCTCAGATCTCAGCCTCCTGAGTAGCGAGAATTACAGGCATGAGCTACCAGCACCTGGCTCATGAGGGAAAACTTTGGCTATACCCAAACCATAGCACCATTTATTAGAATTCAGTTTTGCTTCAGTGGTTTGATTATTACCAAACCTATATAAAGTGGGAGTTTGGAGGGAGGAGGCTAGATATTGAATCTGAGTCTTTTTTTTTTTTTTTGGGTCCGGTCGTGGGGCCTGAACTCTGGGCCTGGGTGCTGTCCCTCAGCTCTTCATCTCAAGGCTAGCGCTCTACCACTTGAGCCACAGTGCCACTTCCGGCTTTTTTTTTTCCTTTATGTGGTGCTGAGGAATCGAACCCAGGGCCTCAGGCATGCAAGGCAAGCGCTCTACCACTGAGCCACCTTCCCAGCCCCTTGAATCTCAGTCTTAATGCATGTTAAGCATATACTCTGCCACTGAGCTGTACTCCCAACTACTTTAATCATAGTTAAAATCCAATCAGACAAAGGCCTAATATCCAAGAAATTTAGCTGTCCCAAACTTAATACCCCAATTACTAAATGGGCAAGGGAGCTAAGAAGAGACTTCTCAGAAGTAAGAATGGCAAAAAAACACATGAGGAAATGCTCATCATCCCTAGCCATAAAGGAAATGCAAATCAAAACAACCTTGAGATAACATCTTACTCCAGTTAGATTGGCCCATGTGGTGAATTCAAGCAATAACAAATGCTGGTGGGCATGTGGGGAAAAAGGAACCCTACTGCACTACTGATGGGAATGTAAACTAGTACAACCACTCTGAAAAGCAGTCTGGAGGCTCCTTAAAAAACTAAACAAAGATCTACCCTACGACCCATACTACTCCTGGGTTTCTACCGTGAGCATCATGAGACCAGATATAATAAGGACACCTGCACATCCATGTTCATTACTGCACTGTTGACAATAGCCAAGATATGGAAACAGCCTGGATGTTCCACAACAAATTAATGGATAATAAAAATGTGGTACCTATATACAATTTTACACAGCCATTAGGAAGATTAAAATAATGTCATTTGCAGGGAAATGGATGGAACTAGAACAAATCATGTTAAATGAGGTAAACCAAGATCAGAGAGACAAACGGCACATGTTCTCCCTGTTATGCAGAAGTTAGATATAAAATGCACTGGGGTAAATTACACAGGATTCTAGATACTCACACACAGAGACACTGAAAGAGGATCATCTCGGGAGAGATAATCACAAAGGTGCAATACCCAAGCACCTCTCCATATATATAAAATAATATACATAAATAATATACATACTGAAACAAACTCCAAAGATATGGAAACAGGACTTTTTTCTTAATTTGTTTTTTCTTTCTCTGATGACTGTATTCTTTACCTTCTATATGTATTCATGTGCACATGAATCTGCACATGTGGGAGGGTGGAAGGAGGGCACAGAATCCTAGGAGAAAGGGTGAAAAAGTGCAGCAGTAGAGCGCGCTGAACATTGATGAAAGTGAACTATGCAACTTGCGGGTAGAGATGGGAGGGAGGGAATTGGAGAGAATAGGGGAACAGATGACACTACAAAAGGAAATTACTTATTACCTGACATACGTAAATGTAGTCCCACTGTATATAACTTTTTAATGCAGTAATATTAGGTTACCTTCATAGCTTATTTTTCTTTATGAAGTTTTCTTAGGGTAACTGACATCTTTGTGATAAGAGCTTATCTTTGTGTTGTTATTATAAACCCAACATACACCTGCATTCTATATTTTTACTTCTTTTTAGGTAAAAAGGGCTATTAATTTGTATGTGCCACCAGGTGCTGGCATCTAATGCCTGTAATTGTAGCTACTCAGGAGACTTAAGACCCGAGGATCGGGGCTGGGAAGGTGGCTCAGTGGTAGAGCGCTTGCCTTGCATGCATGAGGTCCTGGGTTCGATTCCTCAGCACCACATAAGCAAAAAGAAAAAAGCCAGAAGTGGCACTGTGGCTCAAGTGGTAGAGCACTAGCCTTGAGCTAAAGAGCTGAGAGAGGGAAAGCGCCCAGGCCCAGAGTTCAGGCCCCACGACGGGACTCAAAAAAAAAAAAAAAAAAAGACCTAAGGATCATGATTTGAAGTCGGCCCAGGCAGGAAATTCCATGAGACTCCTATCTCCAGTTAAGAAAACTAGACGTGGTACTGTGGCTCAAACTGGTAGAGTACAAGCCTTGAGCAAAAACAGCTTGGTGACAGTGAGTGCCCAGGCCTCAGGTCAAGCCCATGGCCAACAAAAATAATAAATTAATAAATTTATGTGTACCAATTTTATATCCTATTGCATAACAATTACTCTACTGAGTTGGATTTGTCATCAGTTCTATGGATTTCATCATCTGCACATGGGAATAGTTTTATACCTGTAACTATGTTTTCATCCTTTATTAAAGATAATTAGCATTATACCTGTTCCTGATTTTGATGAGATTGTATGTCGTTTTCCTTCTGCTGTCTCCACTACACTGTGAAAGCCAGGGGGTTCTCATCTAGCTCCTCTGTTGCTGAACCCAGCTCATCATGTATGCCCTGGGTTCATTTCTCTGTTACCCAATCTTGGAAGAGCCCCAGGAAATATTCAGGGTCTTGTCTGGAGTCTGGCAGCTTTGCCTGCCATACTGCAGCCCCTAGCATGGTCCATGGCTCTTGCTTCTTTTGTCTTCTACTCTTCGCTATTACCTTGGATGTTCATTGAGAAATTCCTGCTGTGGAACCTTTGCATTCTAGTGCTCTTAGGAAGATGGAATTCATTTTTTCAGTGTATTTGAATTGACCTTTCTTCATAAGGCAGGAAAATAACTATGTGTGTTTGACTTACCTTCTTGAGTTAGAATTGATCCTTGTCAATGGTTGGAATCTGTCCTTAGGAAAGTGCCTTCTTGATGTGTTTTAGCCTATTTTCTGAACCAACCTCTTAAACATTCACACCGCTTCAGTTTTAACCATCAGTACTTTCCTCTTTGATCCTATAGAATAGCCAGTTCATCTTTAGGAACATTTAGAAGCTTAATTAGAGCATAAAATTAAAAGAATTGAAGCCTCTTTTGTTAGTCTTCTCTTCACTGCATACATCACTCATAGCACCTGTGGGTGTTCATTCAGTCAAACATGTTGCAGCAAGAAGGGAATGTTTGAGGTAAGATGTTTATAGTGAACGTTGAAAGAAGTAAGAAATTCAGCCAGAGGTAGCAGTAGCTATCCATCTGCAAGAAAGAAGCAGAATGATTCAAAGAGCTGACAGGGTGAGAGCAGTGATGGAAAGGAAAGACACAAGACCTCAGTTGGGTGCTCAATCATGAAGGGACCTGAAAGGGGAGGCAGTGGCCAACAAAGGAGACCAAAGAAGCTAACTAGGAGTAAAACATGCATGTTTGTCTATACATGCATCTGCTCATTTGACTATCTACTTTTCAAGAACAAAGAACAGTGCTATATATCTCCAAAACTCATAATTCAAGGAGAAAATGGAAACTAGATTGGGTTTTAGTCTTGTTGTTTTTATTGTATATTAAAATTTTCAAAGGTAGTGTGCTTCCACTGTGGTTTGTTTTCCTTCCACAGTCTATATATACATACAGTGAGATATACAATGTTCATGCCTGTTAGCTTGGGAAAATCTTGTCTTTTCCATGTTACCCAACTGTAATCATCACAGGGAGCAGTGTCTTTCAATGATGTGGCTGTGGACTTCACCCAAGAGGAGTGGCAGCAGCTGGACGCTGATGAGAAGGCAATGTACAGGGATGTGATGCTGGAGAATTACAGCCACCTTGTCTCCCTAGGTAAGGACAGCTTGCATTCTGTGAAGTACTTTCAATTTTCTTCCTAAGCTTGAAGAAACAAATGTTTCTTTGGGGTGGAGAATGAATGAATACTTCTCCTTTGAAAGGCTCTAATTTTGATAAGATTAAAAAATGGGGCCTTAAGCCAAACACCAGTGGCACATGCCTGTAATCCTAGCTACTCAGGAGGCTGAGATCTGAGGATCACGGTTCAAAGCAGCCCAAGCAGGAAAGTTTGTAAGACTCTTATCTCCAGTAAACCACTCAGAAAACCCATGGTAGAGTGCTAGCCTTGAGCTGAAGATCACCTAAGAGACAGTGCCCAGACCCAGAGTTCAAGCCCCATGACCAAAAAAAAAAAAAGAAAAAGAAAAAAAAATATGGGGGGTGGGGGGGCTGGGAAGGTGGCTCAGTGGTAGAGCGATTGCCTTGCATGCATGAGGTCCTGGGTTCGATTCCTCAGTACCACAAAAGCAAAAAGAAAAAAGCCAGAAGTGGTACTGTGGCTCAAATGGTAGAGTGCTAGCCTTGAGCTGAAGAGCTGAGGGACAGTGCCCAGGCCCAGAGTTCAGGCCCCATGACCAGACCAAAAAAAAAAAAATGGGGCTTTAGTTGCTGGGCACCAGTGGCTCATGCCTATAATCCTAGCTGCTCAGGAAGCTGAGATCTGAGGATCAAGGTTCCAAGCCAGTCCAGGCAGGAAAAACTGTGAGAGTCTAATCTCCAATAAGCCACTCAGAAAACCAGAAGTAGTGTTGGGGCTCAAGTGGTAGAGCACTAGCCTTGAGCTGAAGAGCTGAAGGACAGTGCCCAGGCCCAGAGTTCAAGCCCTATGATCAACCAAAAAAAAAAAAAAAAAAAGAGGCCTTAGCTTGGCACTAGTGGCTCATGCATCTAATCAGCTACTCAGGAGGCTGAGATCTGAGGATCGAGGTTCAAAGCCAGTCCAGACAGGAAAGTCCATGAGACTTGTGTGTCCAATTAATCACCAAAAAAACAGAAGTGGAGCTGTGGCTTAATTGGTTGACTGTCTGCCCTGAACAAAAGGAGTTCAGGGTGTACATTCAAGCCTGAGGACCAGCAGCAAAAAAAATAACAGAGGACCTTTATTGTACAGTCTGTAAAGCAGCACCCTCCACACCACAGAGATTCCAAAGCAAGCCAGCTGACTCAAGCACTTATCTACTTTTTGTTAACAGGGTATGACTTTATCAAACCAAACATGATTATTAAGTTGGAGCAGGGTGAAGAACCATGGATGATAGAAGATGACTTTCCCTCCCAAAATCACCCAGGTAAGTGAATAGAGTGTCATTTAAAAAAAAAAAAAAATTTATTATCCCAGTTCCTTTAGGAGCTTGATGTTTAAGGTTTTACACCAAATATAACCCACTAGTATGGTAACTCTTGTATGTATTCAGAATGAATAATTATTATGCTAAGAATATATCTAGTTTGGAGAGCTTTAAATCAGCATATTCAAACAAAATTAATGCCTGACATAGTAAGTATTATATCAGGGCTGGGAAGGTGGCTCAGTGGTAGAGCGCTTGCCTTGCATGCATGAGGCCCTGGGTTCAATTCCTCAGCACCACATAAGCAAAAAGAAAAAAGCTGACAGTGCCCAGACCCAGAGTTCAGGCCCCACGACCAGGACCCCCCCCCCCCCCCCCCCCCCCCCGCAAAAAAAAAAGAAAAAGATAAAAAGTATTATATCAGAAAACTTTTCCAAGCCTGGTTGCTATCTAAATAGAAACAAATGTGAGGTTTTAGACTTTGAATTTCTGTGTACGGTGGAAATGCAAAGGTTTCTGAAGACTATACTTGAATATCTATCATCTTTGCATATATGACCAATAACTGTTCTCCCACTTGATCCCATTTGCTCTAAGTCCATCTTCGTCTTCCTGAAATTAGCACCTTTCAGTAACTTCTCTGTTCATTTTCTAGGTTTGTTTCACCTTTTCTAAAAAGTTTAAAAGTAATATTTTTAAAGTAATAAAGGTGTTTGTATTAATGTGAATTTATTCTTTGTGTGTGTGTGTGTGTGTATACTAGTCCTAGAGCTTGAACTTAGGGCCTAGGCACTGTACCTGAGTTTTTTTGCACAATGCAGGTACTCTACCACTTGAGCCAAAGCTCCACTTCTACTGCTTGGTTAATTATAAATATAAAGTCACAGACTTTCCTACCTCATCTAGCTTTGAGCCATCATCTTCAGTTCTCAGCTTCCTGAGTAGCTAGGATTACCATATGAATCACTGGCACCCAGCTACTTGCACTTTTTTACTACTGTCCCACATTCTTCCTCCTCCACAGTCATAACTCAAGTCTTTTACAAAGCAAAGAAAAAAAAGAGATCTGTAGACTTAGTTATTCTTATTTGTGAAGATTGATCCTAAAGCCAGAGACAGCCCCACAAATAAGGCTTTCAACTACCTGTCCCATTTTATAGCTTTTATATTCATCTTATTTCTTTTCAGAAGACATCTGGAAAGTTGAGGACCTGATAGAGGGAATCCAAGAAAATAAAGACCAATATTCAAGGCACATGGTTACTATCAACAACCAAACGTATGGTGTAGAAGCACATTGTGTTTCTTCAAGCACAGCAGCTCACAACTGTGTCTCTTGTGGGAAGAATGTAGAATCTGTTTCAGAATTAATTAGCACCGATGGAAGCTACACAAAAAAGAAACTGGATGAGTGTCTTGAATGTGGAAAAATATGTCAGGAAGAGAAACCCTATGAGTTTAATGAGAATGGAGACACCTGTCCTCAAAGTGAAGAAAGTGCTCTGCAGAAAATTAGCATATTGAAGAGACCTTTGGAGTATGAGTGTGTGCAAGCTTTAGACACTGAAGCTGTTCTCATTGTTCATGAAAGAGCTTTTATGGAGGAGAAACCCTATGAATGGAATGAATCCAGACCAGACTTTATCCAGATGTCAAATTTTAATGCATACCAGAGATCACAAATAGAAATGAAGCCCTTTCAATGCACAGAATGTGGAAAGTCCTTCTGTAAAAAGTCAAAATTCATCATACATCAGAGGGCTCACACGGGAGAAAAACCCTATGAATGCAGTGTGTGTGGGAAGTCCTTTAGTCAAAAGGGCACCCTCACTGTACACCGCAGATCACACTTAGAAGAGAAGCCCTATAAATGTAATGAATGTGGGAAAACCTTCTGTCAGAAGTTACACCTCACACAACATTTGAGAACTCATTCAGGAGAGAAGCCCTATGAATGTAGCGAGTGTGGGAAAACCTTCTGCCAAAAGACGCATCTCACCCTACACCAGAGAAATCATTCAGGAGAGAGACCCTATCCATGTAACGAATGTGGGAAGTCCTTCTCCCGCAAGTCAGCCCTGAGTGACCATCAGAGAACACACACAGGAGAGAAACTTTACAAGTGTGCCGAGTGTGGAAAATCCTACTACCGCAAATCTACACTGATTACACATCAGCGAACACACACAGGAGAGAAGCCTTATCAGTGTAGTGAGTGTGGGAAATTCTTTTCCCGGGTATCATACCTTACTATACATTATAGAAGTCATTTAGAAGAGAAACCTTATGAGTGTACTGAATGTGGCAAAACCTTCCATCTAAATTCAGCCTTCATCAGGCATCGGAAAGTACATGCAGAAGAGAAACTCCGCGAATGCAATGAATGTGGGAAATTCTCTCAGTTGCCATATATTCCTGACAGTGATCCAGCCCATGTAGGAGAGAAACCTTATGAATGTAATGAGTGTGGGGAAACCTTCCTTGAAAATTCAGCTTTCAGTGAGCACCAGTCACTTCCAGAGGAGGAGAAAACCTATGAATGTAATATATGTGGAAAATCATTCTCCGAGTTGTCATGTTACACTGTCCATTACAGAGGGCATTCAGAAGAGAAACCCTTTGGATGTAACGAATGTGGGAAAACCTTCTCCCATAATTCATCCCTGTTTAGACATCAACGAGTACACACAAGTGAAAAGCCGTATGAATGTTATGAATGTGGAAAATTCTTCTCTCAAAAGTCATATCTCACTATTCATCATCGGATTCATTCAGGTGAGAAACCCTATGAATGCAGTAAGTGTGGGAAAGTCTTCTCCCGGATGTCAAACCTCACTGTGCACTATAGAAGCCATTCAGGAGAGAAGCCCTATGAATGTAATGAATGTGGGAAGGTCTTTTCTCAGAAGTCATACCTCACTGTGCATTATAGAACTCATTCGGGAGAGAAGCCTTATGAATGTACTGAATGTGGGAAAAAGTTCCATCACCCATCAGCCTTCACTAGCCATCAGAGAATTCATAAAAGAGGGAATCTGAATGTACTCAATGTGGTAAATTAAGACTGAAGTCAATATAAAAACTCATCTGACTATTACAAATAGGGAAAATCCACCAGTGAGTCAAGAGAATTTATTGTTGTTGAGTCAAACCCATGCCTTGTGCATGCTAGCAAGCATTCTACCACTGAATTACATCCCCACCCTGGGGATCAAACATCTGAGTACTGTGCTCCTAGATAGGGAGAAGCATTGAGGAAGAGATCCATTTTAATCTGAATTTTCAGAGAAGAGTTCCTATGAGTGCAACAAAAAGCAAAGCCTTCAGCAAGACCATACGTCTCACAGGACACTAGATAATTTATTCAGGAACAAATTTTATAAATATTTAATATTTATTTTGGATTCAGATTGTATTGACATCAGGGAATCGTACTAAACAAAATCTGTCAACATGACAAATGTGGAAAACATCTTGGAAATTACTATACTTAAAGCCATATTGCCAATGTAAACAGGTATTTATAGGAAAGATACAAGAAGCTATCAGTTTTGAATAAACCTTTATTGTGTAAAGTCTTAAAATCGTCAGGAGTTGGTTGTGAGGACTGTACTTAAGTGTGTGACATTTCCTATTGTATTTTAAAAATGCAATCATGCTATGCAATTTTATCAAGCTTAGATTTGAGTAACTCATAAAAAGACAATTTGTATCAGAGTAGGAGAATGCCAGCAGGATGTATTATTGGTGGGTTGTGATAAATAACCAATAAATCTTCCTACTGAGGGAATCTTACAGGTGGGTTTTTGTGAAGGCCTCTTCTGTAGAGGAAGGATTGATTTTTTTTTTTAATCACCTGAGCTGGAGTAAAAAATATTTTCAAAAATACTATTATGAAAAACTACATAGATAATCAAGTTGTTTTTAAGTGTACATTGGTGAAAAAGAGTTGCACAGTTCGTAATCCAAAGTACACACCTATTACGCACTCCTGATTTCTGATCCACAGATATATCTAGAGCACCAGTACTAATTTAGAAGATATCTGAATATGTCATTTAATGTGTCATTTTGTCTTTTGCCCTTTTTCTCACTGTTTTGGAATTAATTAGTATGTTTCTAACAGTTATTTTCTGGTTTATTGGTGTCTCTTCTCTCATCCCTTTCTGGAAGACTTTGGCTACATACCTTTCTCCATATGACATAGTAAATCCTGTATGGTAATTCCACCTGATTGATAATATAGTATACCCCATTCTTCACAGGGGATACAGCCCAAGACCTCAGTAGATGCCTGAAACTGCAGGTAGTGTTACTACCCAGTAGGTACTATGGCTCTGCAGTAGCCAAGGCTGTGACTACAGTGTGCCTGTGGGGAAAGAAGTCAGGTATGAAAGATCTCAACACGACTCAGAATGGTGTGTGATATAAGATTTACAAATTATCCATTTAATGTCTGGATCATGGTTGACCCCAGAAAGCTAAAACTACTGGAAGTGAAGCTTCAGATAAGGGACTACTATATAATCTGACTGTTTTGATCATATGACCCAGTCCTAGACAAATCAAATAGACATGTACTTGTTCTGGAAAATGGCCATCAAATGGGTCTTGTTCTAAGAATGTATGGGATAGTTAGATATTCAGAAGTTAGATGGTTGGGCATGTAAAAAAAGGTGGCCGGGCTCCGGTGGCTCATGCCTATAATCCTAGCTATTCAGGGCGTTGAGATCTGAGGATCAGGATTCAAAGCCAGCCCGGGCAGGAAAGTCCGTGAGACTCTTATCTCCAATAAACCAGTAGAAAACTGGAAGTGGTGCTGTAGCTCAAGCAGTAGAGTGCTCGCCTTGAGCTGAAGAGCTGAGGAATAGTGTTCAAGCCCCACAACCAACCAAAAAAAAAAAAAAAGAGAGAAAAGGTGAATTCTAAGGAAAGTATAGAGTAAAACTCATGTTCAATTTTTATTTCTGCAAACTACAGAAGGGAACTTCCTTAATTGGGTGGAGAGTAAAAGTAGAGTATCACTATCAAATTTTTTTTTAAAGCATTACTATCATTAGTAGCATTGTGCAAAAAAATAACAGGAAAGTCACAAGGAAAGGCAAAGTCAAATTGTTTTTGCAGGTGAAATGAATTTACACATACTGAGGCGTATACTGGCAGTTAACTGGTATTGAGTAGAGGGAGCAAGTTCTGTACCTATAGGACATTTTACAAACAAACCAAAAACAACAACAACAAAAAAAAAAAAAAAAACGGTTTTCAGGTGCCTGTGGCTTACACCAGTAATCCTAAGTACTCAAGATGTTCAGATCTGAGGATCAAGTTTGGAAGCCAGCATGGGCAGAAAAGTCCGTGAGAGTCTAATCTCCAATTAAGCACCAAAAGCCAGAAGTGCAACTGTGGAACAGAAAAGCCAAGTGCTAGCACCCAAAAATAAAAGTTTATACTAAACTGTCACCCACCTCTCCTCCAATCAGCAAACCAAGGTGCTCACTAGTGTCCCACCGCACTGCCTTTCTAGATTTTATACCCACCTCTGACTCAAATTCTCATTGCCTTAACCCAGCCTTCATTTTTGCAACCTGCTGCAGCCTAGGGTGACCAGACCCCAAATTCAGCTTCCCAGTGCACTGCAGCATTGACAGCTGGACTGGGAGACCACTTCCTCATCCCAGTGTACCCTCTCTGGTCTTCAGTTTCACCTATGCCTCGGCTTCACATACTGCCAGGATCCTTGGCACTAACTCCCTTGTCAGACACTTTATCCAAAGCCTTTTCCCCAGGCTGGGAAGGTGGCTCAGTGGTAGAGCGCTTGCCTCGCATGCATGAGGCCATGGTTTTGATTCCTCAGCACATTAGCAGAAAAAAGCCAGAAGTGGTGCTGTGGCTCAAATGATAGGGCGCTAGTCTTGAGCTGAAGCGCTGAAGGACAGCACCCAGGCCTAGAGTTCAGGCCCCACGACCGACCAAAAAAAAAGACGAAGAAAAGCCTGTAACCTTGGTCTGTGGTCCCCTGAGACTCCTTTCTACCTGCACAGACTATGGAATCTGATTTGTAGTTAGCGCTGCTGGAGTGGGAGCTGGCCTTCCCCTTGGGAGCTCCTTCATCCATCACTGGCAGTGGCCTCAATGCCTCCTAGCCTTGGTCACCCTTCCTTGTTAACCCAGGTAAGGAGGGGACCCACACTGGATCAGAATGCTGCACTCTAGTGTTTCAATGAGCCCAGGCCCCTGAGGTAACTTGAATGTCTATTGCTGCCTCAAAATGGGGTCAGCAGGGGCAAGGGAAAGACAGAAGGGGTCTCCCCACAAGGAAAGTGACTTTGCAGTCCCCCCTATCCATAAAAAACCAGCCACTGAAATAGGAGTAGCATTCAGGGACCTGAGCTACTGGGGCCCTGCAGGTCACTGTTCAGGAGTGAACAGTATCTTCAGGGAAGGATAACAGCAACTAGTCAGCTCATGGGGTCCACAGGGAGTCAGTGAGCTTGGGTGAAGCAGAACTTCTGAAGGACAGGGTCTGTGAGCTGCCATACCCACTACCTTGGGTGTGCCCACACCAGTGGGACAGCACCTCAACACTCCTTGCTGGATGTCCCAAACCCCTGGCTGTCCCAAAACACTGCCAAACTCTTCATCAAGTAGGTGCTAGTCCCATCACACTCCTACACAGCCCTGGAGCAAATGCAAACTTCTGCTGAGGTACAGCCTTGGGGGAATGGGTGTACACCTGAGTCTAGCACCTCCAAACACTCCACAGGAACCCCTCCCACCAGGATGGGCAGGACTAGACCTAAAATTCCTGTGGTAAGGAGTTTAGGGCCAGCCGTGATGCACATATTGCCATGGCTCTGGCCTGATGGACTTGGAAGCTGTTTATCCAGGCTGGGTGACTATCTTCCCCATCTTCCTTGTCCCACACATATCTGACCTGAGAACTCAGCACTGAGCCATCTTGTGGAGTATGGCTGCCCAAACTTGAAGTCCAACCTGTAACTGTTGTATTTGGGGTAAGTTTTATTGCTGGGGAGAGTCGGACTCTAAGTGTGTGTGTGTGTGTGTGTGTGTGTGTGTGTGTGTGTGTGTGTGTGTGTGTGTGTGTGTGTGTGTGTGTGGTGTGTGTGTGTGTGTGTGTGTGTGTGTCCAACCTGTAACTGTTGTATTTGGGGTAAGTTTTATTGCTGGGGAGAGTCGGACTCTAAGTGTGTGTGTGTGTGTGTGTGTGTGTGTGTGTGTGTGTGTGTGTGTGTGTGTGTGTGTGTGTGTGTGTGTGTGTGTCCAACCTGTAACTGTTGTATTTGGGGTAAGTTTTATTGCTGGGGAGAGTCGGACTCTAAGTGTGTGTGTGTGTGTGTGTGTGTGTGTGTGTGTGTGTCCAACCTGTAACTGTTGTATTTGGGGTAAGTTTTATTGCTGGGGAGAGTCGGAATCTGTGTGTGTGTGTGTGTGTTTGGGTCCGGTCATGGGGCCTGAACTCTGGGCCTGGGCACTGTCTCTCAGCTCTTCAGCTCAAGGCTAGTACTCTACCACTTGAGCCACAGCGCCACTTCTGGCTTTTTTCTTTTTGCTTATGTGGTGCTGAGGAATCGAACCCAGGGCCTCAGGCATGCAAGGCAAGCGCTCTACCACTGAGCCACCTTCCCAGCCGTGTGTGTGTGTGTGTGTGTGTGTGTGTGTGTGTGTGTGTATGTGTGTGTGTGTGTGTGTATTCTGGGCCTGGAGTTTCAACTCAGGGCCTGGGTGCTGAGCGCTCTACCACTGAGCCACCTTCCCAGCCCCGTGTGTGTGTGTGTGTGTGTGTGTGTGTGTGTGTGTGTGTGTGTGTGTCTGTGTCTGTGTCTGTGTCTGTGTATGCTGGTCCTGGGGTTTCAACTCAGGGCCTGGGTTTTTTCACTCAGGCCCTGAGCTTTTTCACTCAAAGCTGGCACTTTACCACTTGAGCCACAGCTCCATTTCTAACTTTTTGGTGGTTAATTGGCAATAAGAGTCAGACTTTTCAGCCCAGGCTAGTTTTAAATCACAATCCTCAGATCTCAGCCTCCTGAGTAGCTAGGATGTCAGGTGTGAGCCACTGGCACC